ACACACACAGACACAGTTCTATCCACACACATGACACACCTCCAGGAAGTGTGAGTCTTCCCGAGACGGTCACCACGCTGGGGAGCATGGCCTTCTTGGGTTGCAAGTCTTTGAGCGCGCTGAAGATCCCTTCGTCTTTGACTCGCATCGAATGTTGGAGCTTCTCCGGATGCCGCTCCCTGGCGATGGTGACCATCCCAGAGTCGATTTCTTCCATCGACCATTGCGCCTTTAAGGGATGTAGTTCCTTGGAAGAGCTGAGGCTACCCGAGTCGCTCACATCGATTGAGGACAATGCTTTTCAAGGTTGTAGCTCCTTGAGGAAGATCAAGATCCCTGAGTCCGTGAAGCATATTGGAAACTGTGCCTTCAAAGGATGCAGTTCTTTGGCTGAAGTGCAACTTCCAGCTGAGAGCTACATCGGGACAGATGCCTTTCAAGGCTGCCCATTTTCGCCGCCGTAGCTGCAAGGTAGCAAAAGCCGTCCAACGATTGCAATGGAAGGCAGAGTGCAAAAGCCAGGGAAACTTCGAAGCTTTTTGCTGAAGCCTTTGCTGACGGGGTCTGCGAGCCTTTGCTGAAGAATTACACCCAACTGAACTTCTTGCTGGGAGCCGGCTGCTTGCTGTACCTTCCATCCTTGGCCGTTGCGGATAGGCGGGCAGGCGAGCGATCCAATGGAAGTCCCATTTTTTGAGTGCGAAAAAGGGGCGATCCAAAGGTCTTTCCTTTGGGGACCTGCCAGCCACGAAAAACAGGAAGGATGGTGTGAAGGGTAACAACCGACATGTCTCCCTTCAGCAGATCTTTTTGATCAGGGTTTCTGATGCCTTGAAGCGAGCGGGGATCGCGATGCTTTTAGATATTTTGACTCATTTGACCAGTGCTGGACATTTGATCCACATTGAACGATCATCATCCCATGCATCCTGGGGCAGTCAAAATCCTCATCGTCGACCATGGGAACCTGGTCCGCATCGAACTCAATTGGGTGTGTTGTGGAATTGACTTCCCTTAAGCAGGGAAGAGCATCTATGTTAGTCAGGGGGCTGATGTTAAGACAATGGTCGGCTCTAATTCTTGATGTTCTGGCACCGTTGACCCAAGTGAGCAGACCGGATGGTTCTGCCAGGCAGATGGTAAAGGATGGTTCTTCATCAGGGCGGTTGAAATCAGTGTTTCGGGCCTTAACGGGTTGATGGCTGTGGCAAATGAGGTTCGCTACCTCTCTTGGATGTCAAAGAGCTACTGGAATTGCCAGATTTAGGCGAAACCAAAACAAACCTGGTTCTGGCCAACATGGCATACTGCTTTTGTGATCGTTTGTGTTGTGTTACGTTTTGGACCCCATTCAGAATGGTCGAATGGCACAAAGAAGGCCTCTTCGGTGGTTCCTTAGCGAGCCTGTCTTGCGCACAACAAGTCATATGTGTGTGTGTGTATTCTAATATAGGGGGATACGGGATACCAATGGGTTTTAGTCATCCAGTGCACTGGGAGGTCTCCCTATTTGGGCACCGGCACCACTCTCCATACAACCGAGCTCGACCACTTCCAACCTGAGCTCATTCGACATGTCCACCAGGGACCTCGGTGCGCGACCGGTGCCACGGGGGCCCCCATTCGCCGTGACCGGTGACCGTGGTCTCGTTCGTTCCAACAGGGATGGAGCAAGACGCTGCGTTTCTGCTTCAACTCCACGACCTTCCCCCGAATGTAGTGCATCGGCACGGCTCAGGTCGGATTGGGGACACCTTCTAATCGAACAGCTGGAAAAGGTGAACCACGAATCATTTTCCAGGGACACGGCGGGGTCAGGAGATCCTCGGCGGTTCCGTTTGCTTTTGGGGTGGAAAAGAAGAAATCACTGAATCACCGCACCGCTGTCAGGTTTGCCTGCCGGCGTGATGGGCTCCCTGTCAAGAAAGAAACAGATGTGGAAAAAAGGTAGCTCATTGGGTCACAGAAATCCTGATGTCGTACCAAGGAGTTGGTTGTTTTGTTCCATTGGTTCAGTTCCATTGGCCCTAAATGTGTTTAAAGACCATGTCGTCCATCGGTCATGGAACTTCATGCACCGCCCAAACCGGCCAAGCAATCCTCGGCCCACCTCGGCTGGAACAGAGAGAGAGAGAGATCGGGGGCCAGAGCGAACACCAGGGCGTACAGATCGATTCAGCTTGAACTTTTAAAGACGATCGCGGCCAGCCTGTAGTTTCCTTGATTGAGCCGTTCAAGCCTTTCCAGCGAAAAGTAAAATACAAAAAACAGATGTTTGGACTGAATTGACACGGCAATGATTGGTCCCCATGGAAGTGAGATCATCCAGTGAGTTGGCTGCAACACGCTCAGCACTCCAACGAATACTTTGAGCCAAGACGTTGTTCGGTGGCATCATGTTGTTGTCCATTAAGAACATTGGCAGCCCTCAGTCATCGAAGCTCCTATTCTTGGATAAGAGATGATAAGAGTATCAAAAAGTTATCACTAGTCACTAGTCCAAACTAACCTTTGCCCATGTTGTTGTTGTCGTCGTCAATCGCATCAAAAGCTTCACATCAAATGCTCTCACACAGACCCCAAGACCTCTTGGACGATTCTGTTTCCACTCTGCCACAATGTTACTAGTAGCTAAATGTTGCTTTCCCTAAAAATCTAGGAACCGAATCATTAGTGCGAGCGCTTCTTCAAGGAAGCTTCCCCCGCCGCCCGCCAGGGCCGCCAGGGCGGCGGGGGGAGTTTCCTTGAAGAAGCGCGAGCTATCCTGCATCCTGTCAGTAGTAGCTACTTGCAGGTACTAACTACGTCCTACCCCCCCGCGTGGGCACGGAAAAGCTCCTACCAGCATCTACCAGCCTACCAGCTATAGCTACTACTTCTACGGCCTACCCCCCCTAACTAAAACAAAAAGAAAGGCCGTCCAAACCGGCCGTCTCTTTCTTTTTTTGAGGCACCCTTGCTGCCTTGATTGGCGCGGCAGTCTCCAGCTACGGCCTACTGCCTCCCAGCGTTCCCTTCGGCATCGAGACCGCCTTAGTCACCATGGGAAACGATCACGGGTCACGGGTGGCGGGGGTGTCACGGGTGGTGGGTGAACTCAGAAGGTTCCGACTGTGCACCAAAACACGAAGGTTCCGACACACCACTTACTTTCATGCAGACAGGCTCCAGCCAAAAAAAGGTGTGGATGCATATCAGGTGCGGCAATCCAAACAACCCCACCCAAAAGCTAAAGCTGACATGATTTTATTGGGGGCGGGTCCGTAGAAAGGAGGGGGTTGGATGTTCATGGCCGATGCATGACATCCCTTGCTCTCCCAACGACGGACGCTTGATACCGTTCTGAGGAGAAGAGATTTCTTTGGGCAGTCGTTTCTGGGATCAAGACGACACCGGAACAGACCCCAATGGACTTCCCGGCGGAAGGCATTTCAGCGTTGTTTATTTACAACTGTGGTGAAGATAATTGGAGTTGTTGGCGTTGGACCGTTTATTTGGCTACCTTTGTTGCAGCCTCCGAAACGAGATGTTGAAAGCAATTGCTGGTTCTAAGGGCTTTCACGAATTGCCGTCTTTCACGAAGAAGCCTTTGTGCCGGAATCCCACCCGGACCCCTGGTGTTGCCTTTGGGTTAAAAGAAAACGGAGGCCCCCAACGCGGCAGATGGCGGTTCCAACAAGCCATCGGAGTGGGATTTTGGGGCGGTTCCTGTGCCGTTCCGGAGAGAATTCCGTCGAGAAGCGCCTTCCGTTCCAGGCACCATTTCACTGTGGAACACCATCTTCGGAGCCTTGGCGGAACCAGTGAAGGGTTTAGGGTTCAAGAAAGAGCGTGCATCCCTGTAAACTAGTAACAGTTGGTGAAAGGACAGATGATCACGAGTTTGGGGAAAAGGTCGGCAAGGAACCGTCATCACCCAAGATGGTGCCCTTGGGCCCCATGGGAGGGCACCTCTTTGCGTCAGACAGCACAGCAAGTCTGGACTCGATGGGGCCATCCTGTACATACCCGGACTGGCCTTTTCTGCCACCCGGTCTGCCCAAATCATCCCTATACTTGTTGCCAATGCAAGGCTTTCACCCTCAATTAGAGCCTTCGTTTGGGCCGCGCGTCGTCGGGGCGGCAGAGAAGCACCGAATCCCACGGCAGGTGGACCGACCCAGAGGTGTTCCTTTTCCCGACACAGCACTGCTAAGAGCATGCTGTGCTGTGCAGGTGACAGGTTGGGGTCCGTCGTTGGCTGTGGTTGGGGTCACATCACCTGGGGAGCCCCTGTTTTGATGTAGCCAACGTACCCAACTCTCAGTGGCCAATTGGTACGGTTCACCAATCTCACAGCTCTCGAATGGTGAGAAATCCAAGGATCTAAGTGAGTACTTTCTCTCATCCACCACGAGGGACAGCACGAACAAAAAGGGGCAGCAACACAACACCCCTGGGACTCGACCAAAAAACAGCCCCCAAACACACAGTCATCACCCAAATGGAGGAAGTTGCCGAAAGTCACCAAAAACATGCCACCGACCTCGTCCCACCAACCTGGTGGAGACGCGTCCGACGCTGGGCCCGGATGGAACGAGCAAATCCAGCGGAGCAGCGGAGCAGCCGAGGATTCCTCGGCTTCTTCTTGACGCTCTTCACCTGGCCTGGCCGTGCCACTCGGTGAGCGGGCGCTCCGCTGGTGCGGAGGAGGATCAGTGGAGCTGGGGGGTGGAACAGGGGGGGGCATGGTTGAACTCAAAGAGAAGAAGGGGTCGCAGATGCGAAGAACTTCTGGCACTCACTCCAAAGACATCTTTGGTGCTCCACCCACTGTTTCCAATGGCTACCCCTACGAAAACCATCGACCCCGCCCGCGCCGGTGGCGTTCCGTTCCGTTCCGTGGTGGTTTCACCGCCACGACGGCGGCGTGACGACGGCACGACGAGGAGCGAATCTTCTTGGACGCCTGCTGCATCCACCAAAGCCACGCGCGTAGCAAGGCGGAGGGCATCCGCAGCATGAGCGGCATCCTGTGCCTTGTTTTGTGACATGGGACACTGAAGCGAAGAAAGAAAGCTCCAAGAATGGGACAGATGAAGAGGGAGGGAGAGTTGCTAGGTGAAAAACCGCAGATCTGTGTGGAGACAGAAAGAAAGAGAAAATTTCGTGCAGTTCCTTCATTGACATGAAAGATTCCGAAAGAATGAAATTGTTTTCCTGGTCGGAATAGGACTTCAAACGACTTCATGTTTCTTCACTCCGCATAGGATCCTTTAAACGGCTGTTTTGCTCAGAATGATAGATTCGCTTCGTTCGTCATCCTGTGATTCTGTGTCTTCGCTTTCCGATGTTTGTTTCGACGGGGTTGCTCTCCGGTGTACCCGACTCCATCGTGCTGGGGTGAACCTCCCCAAAAGCGGCGGTCCGAGTGTAGCAGTTCCGCAAAGGAGACGGTGTTTGAGGACTGTTGGAGAGTAGTGTAGGATGCCTTTTTGCAATCTAGAGAGAAAAGTTAGAAAAGAAGGACGCTCCTCGAACCTGACCTGCATCTCTTTCGAAAACTGCTCGCCACTCAGGAAGCGCTCTCAAAAGATGCTGGTCCTATGGGACAAGACCTATGCAGAGAGGTTATGGTGCATGTTCGCAGCTCGGCTGAGGGCTGTTTTTTCTTTTGCCGATCCCCGGAGTGGTTGGTTTGGCAACACGGACGGCAACGCCGATGGCAACGACCAAAGCTGATGACCAAGCGCCTGAGGAACTGGCCGCCTTCGTGAAGAGCCGTGGAGCTGGCGGCATGGCCAAAGGACGGTGGGGAGTAGAGGAGCTGGCGGAGTAGAGGAGCTGGTGAAATGGATAGGTTTGGTGATGCTTGGTGCGTTCGGGTCCAAGGAAGATCGTTGCTTAGTAAGATGTGTTCCAGATGTTTTACAACATCGCAGACAAATTTCGTTTGTAAGACCTGCAAACCTGTCGCAAGTGGTGCAGCATGTGTTTGCGTGTGTTTAACACTCGGAAGATCTCGGGAAGCCAAACTAGCAATCAGATCATCATTCGCCTCAGATGGGTTTTCCAACCTGTCGAAAGCATCCGATTCCTCGAATTCCAAGCGAAGAAGTCGAAAGTTCACATCTTGGGACCACATCTTTTTGACTGGTGCGACGGACGAAAGCAGGGTGGGGAATGAGGGAATTGGCTGGATCCAATAGGATCTCTATTGGGGGCTCATTCTTCATTCCCTGATTCCCTACTTTCGTCGCAGTCAGTCAGTCTTTGGTATGGAAATCGTCCAAGAAAAAGGACCCTCACCGACATCGCCTTCGGCGCCGAAGCACGGACAGGGGGAAAGCTCTTTGGATGTGACCTGAGATATGCGGTGATGTGTTGCTTCTTCGAAAGAACTTGGATCTGATTTGGGATTGTGTTCACTCTTGAACAGCACAGGCCCACATCACAAGCAAATGCCCCAAGCGCCCCACACACACCCAGGCACTTTTGCACACCCAAGAATGCACACCTGTGTTCTATTCGCAGGTTCCCACGCGCATCCTGCCTCTCCTCGTAGCTTCTGCCTGCCTGTGGGACCAGGACATTTGGCCATTCGACCCACGCTGTTGGGGCCCTGCGTCTTAGCCATCGTTTTATCGTTGTCCAGCTTCTTCATCATCTTAGCCACTCGGTTGTGCACGTGCTCTCTTTGACATGTCTTTGGAGCGAGTGACGGTGACGGCATCAGCTGGGGGGCCGCAGCACAATGCTCAGTGCTCGGCCTAGTCACTCCCCCTAGCAATCAAGGATTTGGAGAATGAAGCCTTGGGTTGGTTTGGATTTAGACATGGGCCCTCATGCAATGTTGTTTACTTCGGAAGTCAACACTACAAAGCAGCAATGATCATGTTTGATCAACCGTAAAAGATGTGAAGAAGCAGATCATTGACCCACCTGAACGATGTTCTTTCCTGCTCAACCCTCCTCCAGCGGCCAGGTTTGCGTGTTTTCCTACGGTTGGGATCATATGGAGTTGCTCGGGGGCGTGTCTCTGGCGGTCTTGATCTTGAGCTACCCTGCGGCCGCGGTCTTTCGGGGCTACTTCCATTCGGCGCCTTGAAGGGCCGAGGGATGGGCGGAAAGGTGCGTGGTGGGGGACCCGGCGCAAAAGGACCACCAAAGAAACCCAACTGGTTCCGGTCAAATCGGAACAGCTCTGCCATAGGTTTCTTCAACAGCTCTAGAATGGAGATCACTGGACATTCGCAATATCATGTCATTTGTTTCAGCAGTACCTTTTTGCTGATACTGCTTGAAGGACTCCAACACACTGGAAAGCCTAAATTAGATCCTGAAGATTGGTCTACGTTGGGTGTGCACGTTGGGTGTACAACATTTGGTGCATCCAGTGCAAGGAGGAGGTTACTCTCTCTCCCTTGAAAAGTGACATGATTTGTTTACGACTTCCTGTTTGTAGAGGACAGTCCTCTTCCATTCAGAGATTTGCTGTCCAATCCATTTTAGTTGCATGGGAGGATAAACTGGAAGTCCAGTGGCTTGGAGCTCGGAGAAAGAAAACTCCTGTGAAGTTCCCAATCGAAGTTATTCAATCCTCCCCGGAATGAAATCGCCCAGGATCCAGGCCCAAGGTCCTTCATGGCAACAGGTGACAGTGATTCTCATGATATATACTGGAGCACCTCTCAGATATTTAGCCACAGACAATCATTCCTGTTTAGAGCAATCCTTCCTAGTGGTTGCTTGTCAAAGATCTCCAGATGTGCTCCCTTTTATTCGCAGAGAGAGAGCCCTCCCTGGCGTCTCCCTCGCGGCGCTTGGTTGGTTTTCAAGGTTCATGTGCTCCAGGAGCAATTGAGACCTGGATGCAGAGGGCTGGAGATCATGGCCTCACTGTGGAATTTCCAAAACTGTTGAAAGCCATGCAGAACTCTGACTTATGACCACTGCTACTGAGCTACTACACATGACAACTGACCCTCCCAAAAAGCGGCATGGTCGTGGAAGACACACTTCCTCCATGGCCGAAATGGCCCAGGTCCAGAAAAAAGCATACGTTGACTGTGTCATTTTGACCGCCCCACCTGGAACACTTCAGTAGGAATGCTTTCCTCCATGATTTGCTGCTTCATTCCGATGATTTCGTGTGGCCAAAGCCAGGTATAACTGCGAACACCTCCGATATATCCTTCGTGTAAAAAAGCATGTAGCAAAAGTTCACATATCTCCTAGTAGCGTTCTTGTTCCTAGTAGCGATGCCCTTTGTTACAAGCAGTTCCCGGGCAAGCCGGCGGCGGAAGTTTCCTATAAGAACAAATTGACCTATA